TTCTTGTTTTCCTTTAAAATACAATAAGCACAAGATATGCGATGTACAAATAAAGTTTTATGTTTTGTTGGATATAAGGATTCTAATTTTGCAAGTATCGACATGTTGACTCGACCTCGTTTTTATATTTCAATAATAATAATATACATTAGCTATCTGTGTAAGTTTCATGCAAAATTATTTGTAAGTACATTATTACTTTTGAAAACTTTCTAATGAAAAAATCATAAATACAAGATATAAATACCTGTTTTATTTAAATCGGGATAACTTCTCCTACACAAATGCCCTTCATCGCCATTTTGTCGAAACGCGGAAGTTTTATTGAAATCCAATCAAAATTTAAACCGTCTACATGTTTCAAACGAATATAAATAAATTTTTCAATATAATTCGAACACGATATCGGTCGTACCATTATGATATAGGTTGTGCAGGCTTTTTATATTACAATTTCTTTTCTTTTTTCTTATGTATAATCGTATACTCGTAGTCGTGATATTGTTTCATTTTCAAATATACGATGTTTTGCACAGATGAAATTTAAAAGTAAAAATGTTAAGCAAAATATCTTTAACAGTAATCAAACATATTTTAATAGTATTTTTATTCGATATTCAAGTGCCATATTTTCAATAATTTTGGCAAATCTGTATTTATCTATTTTCTTCCATTGCTTATTATTCATAGGCTTTAACTCTGCTGAATGCGAACATGTTTAAAACTTAAAGGCCCATTATGCCTTTGAAAAGCTTTAGTTTGTTTTTAAATGTTGGTATACTTTTACAGTATCCAAAAATTTACTCATTTGTCAATGACTTGTTCCATCTTTTTCACCAGTTGCTTTTTTGCAATAAGTACAGTTTAATTGAAATTATTATTTTGTATGGAAGTCAAAATACTACGTTGTCTACTTTTATGACAAATTATTTCATATTTATCATTACTTCCTTTAGGTAACAAGCATCCGACTTTCTCTAAAACCAATATTTAAATATTAATATAACAAGCGTATGTACAGTCATGAAGCGAGCAGTCAACCTGTACGCTATTACGCTGTGATATTAGTGAGTAATGGGTTCAGTTAGGCAATAAATATTATGTTTTTTATAAGAATTTTTGACACCCTCTATAAGTCAATATTGGTGGAAATAGACAATGAAAGGAACAGCCCATTCAAGCAAAAAACCTCGAGAAAAATATAAATGCATTCTAAATTTAGTTGAGAATAAAGATTTGCTATTGTCCATCATTTGATCACACTGTTGTAATATGTTGTTTGTTTTACGGATGACAGCTACGTTATTTTTTTTATTTATTTGTGATTGGTAAATGATATATGTTATTTAAATGATTTATTCCTATAAATTGTATTTGTTATTGTAAAGGCGTCTTGGGGAGGGGGATATTAGTTACTGACTTGGCTATGCAGCCATTGATAGTCATCAGCTAAAAAGAGTGAAATGGGAAAAGATACTGTTTCATTTTAGTTTTAGTGCAATTATATATAATTTATCGTTCGAATGCTTTGAAATTATACTATCGCACATTTGAACTCAATCGCTGTCTACAACAGTTTGCTCAAACTTAATATCTTTTTTTAATAGACCTAAACATGATACAAGATTTATCATGATTAAATGGGTTGTACGTTAGACAAATCAGCGTTATCTTTAATTAAAGGGATAAAATATGTTATAATATTCCTAAACAAGATTGGGATGATATTCTACCAATACATGTGCAATGCTTTTATATTGTCAAATTTATTTGTAATAGATCTACATTTAATTGATTTGGACTATTTCAATTCTATTGAAATATATAAGAAGTCGGTCCCTTACTGTAATCAAGATTCTTGTTTTTTTGTTTTTTTTTGTTGTTGTTTTTTCAAAAAGCAACATGTTTACGCAGCGATCTATAATTTTCGTTAGTTTATTTCATTTTTAAAAATGATAAATTGTACATAATATCATAAAGATATCATATCATTGTTAAAAATCAGTTTATGATAAGCAATTTCAAATTGTAATAGATAAATACCTTAATCAATTAACGTTCGTTTCCTTTATCAAATTAACAATAAACAAATGCCTTTCGCCGCCATTTTGTCCTTCGTGCTATCGGGTTTGACAATATTTAAACCCATATAGATCTATCGTAGTCAAGTGCAATTAGACTTGGATAAAATTTCAAATGTATATTTGGGAATATAAATTACAAATTTATGTGTGTGTGTGTGTGTGTGTGCGTGCGTGCGTGCGTGCGCGCGTGCGTGTTTTGTATGTTTGTTTTCGTTATCATTTTTAAAAAGTGAAATACTTATGTAGAAGTGCCAACCCAGCACGATATTTAAACCTCTGAAATAGTTTTATTTTTTAATTTAAATTAATTTCCTGACTATATATTTCAGTACCTTAAATTGCTACATTTGATGATCCCTAATTGTGTAAAATAAATGTAAAACAGTGTGTATCAACGTTTTTTAACTATTTCTTCTTATTATTTTTTAGTTATGACTGGCAATCATTTGGTTACTAACAACAAATGTCATGCAGAGCTGTTTAAAAAGTGACTGTTCACTAGGCGTCAAGAGTTATCCATTCCAACCTGATAAAATCAAGGTGTAAAATCAGTTACAGTTAATAAAAGGAATCCCTGTGTGAATTATTCTGTGTGCATATAAAAACAGTAAGGACTTTAAAAACATGCATACAGATAGCGATGACTTGAATCCAAAGGCTTTTTCAGAGCTTTCTACATTCTTGGTGTGTTTCACAGGTAGACTTTACATAGGAACAAGGGCTGTTATTAGACTGTTGTTGGTAGGGACGTTTTGATCGACTATTCTCAACTTACTTCAGTTTGTTCTACATGATCAAACATTAAAATTGACACGTGAATATATTGGCCACTGACCCTTATTAATAATGCAAGAGCCTGCATGGAAAGTGAAGAATTTTTCTAAGTTCAAAAATGGCCAGAACTCTGACAAAATCAATGAGTGTTATGGACCTTTGGCAGTGACCTATTCAGTGACTCAAAAATTTAACAAAAGTACAACGCTGATGCCTGGATGAGTAGAATAGCTCTCCAGTTTCTTCGAAAAACGATGATTTCTTTTGATAATTTACAAGCTGACAGGCTTGATTTTATTAATGCCTTGATTGCCTGATGTGTGACTGTAAACATTATTATTAATGATGAATAACCAATGTTACAGGTTACCGGGCTAGCTTCCTCACATGGAAGAATTCAAAGTCCCTGGAGGGACTCTAAACCATGGTATTAAGGGTAAGATGTTTTAAAGTCAAAGACGATAACCACTCGACCTTGCTCTTTAGAGAAATACACCTGATTTTTGTTCGTGAAATTAGCATGACAGCTGGAATAGCCGGAACAGCTTTTTTGTCTTGTCCGATTGTTCGGGCTGACCCGGCTTGCCAGATATAATACAGTAGAAACTAATTAAAGTTAAAAGAAATAAATCAGCGCAAACGGCTGCTAGGACATATACTATACTTATATGCATATGCATATACTTTAACCAGCATCATTTTTTTATGAATATGTTTACTTTTTTTATATCATTCGTGCGAATAATGACCTGACTACCGTTTTGATGGCGACTTTTGTTTTTCATTAAATCAATAAGTACAAAAACGTATTTAAAACTTTATATGTCAACATAATATATATTCTTTAGACACTTGCCGAAATCGGCGTAACCTCGTAAATATGGTCTCTACTGATTCTTGTGTAATATGAGACGAGTAGTCAGATCGTCATTCTCACAAATGATCATGAAAAATATACATTTTCATGGCAATATTTTTGGTGCCGTTTAAAAAATAATATGTCAGCAGTCGTGTGCGCTATTTCATTCCCCAATGAAAATATGTGTTCTTTTACTTTCCATGATATCGGTTTCGACCACAGAATTGCACGATTCTGAGTAAGTTTTGCACAAATCCTTCCTGCGTTATGGATCAATTCACCTAAGCTTATATAACCACCGATTTACAAATAATATTACAAAGTATGTAAAGACGTCACTGTTTCTTTATTGATATGACACGGAAATAGGTTAGTATGCTACACGTTGCTGAAGCGGTGGTGGTGGTGGTAAATCACGGCAGATCCCTAGGGCACAGTTCAGCATTTGCATCGTTCCTAAGCAGGTTTTCAAGCAGTTAACCAGTACTAGTTGCCTTCACTTTTGTGAGTCACTGGTATATTCCGTTCATTAGCAGAGGAACAGGTGCACATGACTTTAGAATGAATTTCATGATCAATTAAAGCGAAAGTGGCCTGCACCGTTCGGGCATCGACACCGGGTCGCCCAGTTCAAAGTCTAACGCACTGCCTATTGAGCTAACCGAACGGTTGCCCAATAAAACACGTCTTGGATAGGCACCATATTTACGACATAGCAGACGACAACATAAAGATAGTCAAACTGCGATTTCGTGTTAGATAATCATCGTATGTCTAACATATCTGACTTTATTCAACTTTTAAATAACAATTTTTTTATGATATTAAGTAATATTATTTTCAGTTATTTTATCTTGAAGTGATAATAATGTATGAAATTAGTAAATAGTGGAAATAATGCTTCAGGGAATTGTAGATATTTATTAACGTTACTGAAAATCCTTTCTGTGAAGTAAACGAAAAAATGTTTTATTATTATAATAGTGATATTATGGTCATTTTGTCATTATTTTAAAAGACATTTGAAATAATGATTGATCAACAGTTGATTTATAAATGAAAGAATAAAATATCAATTTGCCTTTAATATTAAAAGATTGCCCTTCCCTTTTTGTAAATTAAACATCAAGTTATCTATAATTGTTAATGGGAAAAGAATAATAAAATTGAAAGGAATTTTGGAGAAAAACACTAACTTATTTTGACTTTTACCTGTTCACTCTCTGTATACCTTAAGATGGGCATAATGTCACTTTAAATGCTATATATTGTTTTTGTTCCAGTTTTTATTTATTTACTTATTTATTTATTTATTAAAAACGAAGGAGAGAAAATGAAGTGGGGAAACTTTATTATATACAAATTTTGAATTGAACATAAATCTTCCGAAATTAAAATCAATCACTAAAGGGAGGGGCGTCTAAGTAAAATTTCTAATCGACTGACAGACATCATTTCCATACCTATTTATAACATTTTATTTAAGACTTAGAATGTACTGAAATCCTTCCAAAAATATATGTACATAAATAACTATTGGTGTCAATGAAACAAAATATTGACAGAATATTTTCAAGCCACCATTTTGAATATAAAAGACATTATCATCTAAACATGATTTTGAACAATAACTCTATAATGTCTTTCAAACTGTAACATTGAACATGTATAAGTTCAAACTAAATGTATACTTTTCATCATGATGTAACTTAACACCAGTCAACCTGAAAAAATTTGATTCGATGTTTTTGACCAAAAACCCCTGTTTCAGAATAAGACACATAAAGTCTTCTCGATTTCTGACAGTATGCCACAACTCCCGGGTACCATTTACAAATTTTCCCATTTATTGCTATCTTACACGGCTTACAGCTGCCAGATACTCTTTGTAAATTGTCGTCACTATCTTGAGCCAAACAAACAAGAAATGTGCCATCATTAAATTCACAAATATCTCGTAGATAGTCTCCTCGCCATGCTGGTTGATAGGTATTTAAAACATTTCCCTGCCCAGTCTAGTTGTTTAACAGCCTTCACGGTAGAACCACAGTCACTGACATATATAGACGTTCCAGCAGAATTCACGGTGATATAAAAGGGTATGCAGAACAGACTACTTACTCCACTAAAACTTTGCAATATTTTACCTTGTAGGTCAAGAATTAAAACTTTCCCTGGACTATAATTACATGACACAACAAGCTTATCTTGGCTGTAAACAATACCATAACATTCCTCGTTGATATTCACCTTACGACCAGAAACTATGTGTTGATTTCTTAGCGACATGAAATGAATACTTCTCTTACCAGGTACAGTCACGACAAACTTATCATCCGTTATAGCTGCAACATCAAACGGTGACTCAGTTAATTTTATCTCTGATACAATTATTTTTTTAACTGTATCATAGCATTTAACATTTTTATTGTCGCTGTAATCACACATAATTATCTTGTCGGGCTTAATAACTTCTATCCCGGTTATGTTACATTCTGTGTTTCCCGATGAAGAATTCAAATCTATATCTTCAACAACCTCAAGATTTAGCGTCTTATCCTCAGACGGGGTTGATGTAGGTTTCATCACTGGAACATTTTCACCCATGGATGCTTTCTTTGTAATAAGTTCTCCCAGTTGCTTGTGTCTTTCTAACATCTCGACAATATCGCTGTTTTTGACAAATGATACAGTCTGGAAAACATCTACTCGACTATACTGTTTTTGCTTCATCCTCATTTCTTCAACTCGTTTCTTTGTTTCTTTCATTTCAACAAACAGCTTATCAAGGCAATTTCTCTGTATCAGGTTATCAATTCGTTTTCGTTTCTCAGTCAGTTTATCTGTGATTTCTTGTACACCTGTTGATAAATCATTTAGATTTGTTTGTTGTTTAAGAAGTATGTTGTCAGCTTCTTCGACAACATATTTTTCCATTTCATCTAGACGTGTATTTATTTCTTTTCTGAAATGATGAATCGCCTTTATTACGCCATTGTGGTTTTGAGAAATAGCTTTCATCTCATCTTTTACTCTCTTTATCTGTGATTTATAACTATCCTCCAGTGCTTTCATTTCTGACATTGTTTCATTAAGCTCTTTACTGTCTAGAATGTGCTTCGAGAGTTTCGGTATGTATTCCACATTACATAACCTGTGATTCAGCGTTACACAAACACTGCAAGCAACGATGTCATGCTCTTTGCAGTAAAATTTCAGTTGTTCGTCTTCATGATCATCACAACTATCGAATTCACCTTTGACGATTGGAACGCTTGGTGTAGTTGGCATAGAGTCTTGATCTATTAGAATATGATGACGTGATGGAGTTTGTTTCTTGTGGTGCTTGTAACAAGTGTCACATAGATGTTCTTTGCAGGTTGAACAATAACATTTTGCTGGTACCCGGGCACCATCTCTATCACACGGGATACAGAATAAAAAAAAGTCCTCATCAGAGCCCGTTGAAGCAGAAAATGTCGTTTTGGCGTTTTGTTTACCAGGAACTTCCATTGTTGGTTTGTTCTGAAATTTATTTATTCATAACAGTTTAAAATAATATGGATGTAAGCACCAAAATAGATGTGAGCATCAGCTTTTGACAACAAATTAACAAATTATACAAAATACAACGATTTTATTTCTTTTTTTAGATTTATAGTTTCTTTATTCATTGCCCTGAGTTGTCAAGTAGTATGTCAATTCCATACCATTTTTAATCGATCAATTAATATAAATCTAATAACACATACATGGATTTACAACTGAAATGCGTAATTACGTAATTAGCCGAAAAGAAGGGAAAAAACGAATCGTGACAAAACATTGTGTCCGTAATCATAATCAAAAACGTTTAATAAATTTGTATTTCATTGTAATAATCCTAAGTAAAAATGATAAACGTTTTTTTACTGTAAAAATTAAATTTATTTTTCACGGAGTGAAACATATTTTCCATATTTTCACTGAAAGCTTGCGACAACTTTCTTCTTAATTCAACCAATACACAAACTTAAAAGAGTAGTCTTAAGAATTGTAAGGTCAAGAAAGGGAACAAATATATAATAAACAGAAAATTCAAGTTCTTTTCTATACATATAGAAGTTATTCAATTTTATTTTCAATAAATACAGGAGTGTTATGAAAATAAATAGTTCAAGACTGGTGGTAGCCACGAGTGATTAATGATAAATTTATCCAAAAGATGAAAATAAATCCTGTATTTATAGAAAAAACTGGAATTTTTTTTTTATGATATATATTTTCCTCTTCTTTTTTTGACATTACAATTTGAAAGACTTTCCCTTGAATTTTGTGTAGAATTTAGAAACATAGTAGAAAACAAGACACCAGTGAAAATACGGAAAATATGTTTCACTGCAGTAAAAATTGTTACAGTGAAAATACGGGAAAGGAAAATATGCATTTTATTTCATCAATTTTTCTGAATATTTATTTAAAAGTACATAATCAACAGGATTTATTTTCATCTTGTGATATGAAAATTACCATATTTCACGTGGGGTTACCGCCACTCGTGAAATATATATATTTTCATACCACACGATGAAAATTGACACTGTATTTATAGTATCCTCTATTCATACATTACAAGGTTTATACAATAAGAATAATTAAGTAGAATAAGCGATACATGTATATGTTTTACATACGTATATATTAATTTGTAAACCTCGCAAGACATTTACATTCATAAATAGAGTTATGTTTTTATTACACTATGATATAATTATGTAATGCGAACTAAGAAAATATAAATCTCAACTTAAAAGACCATGTTTTGATAATTTATTTGAGAAATATTCAAATTTCAAAATTAAACAAAATTCTAACACGACCTGCATTGAACAGAAAAGCGCCGAAAGTGGGTCAAATCACTTCTCGGCCATTTCCGTCGAACTTCGGATAAGACCCGCAAACACAATAGAACGAATCTAACCTACGCACGTAATCAATATTAATATAATAGTTGTTGACTAAGTTAAATCCAATATATCGAGTAAACGTCTATGGAGCAGAATTTGGGTATTTATTCATTTGACAACTTGTTGTTTTCATTTGCTTAAGTTTAAATCATATTCCTACAAATTTGATTCATCTGTGAGTTTATCAAAGTTCTTTACTTAAATATTTATTTATTTATTCTTTCTTACTATGTTTTAGTAAGTTGTAATATTCTAAAGCCAATGCCAGTACTTCGTCTTAATTCGTTGAATTTAATATTAGATACCAATAAATTTACTTTTTGTTTTTGACATGTGCTATTTCTACTTATTTAAAAGAAAGTGTGTTTTCTCGAACTTGTTTCTTACAAATGTATTTGTGCAACTCTTATTCTCATTCGATTCACACTGAAAATAAATTTGTATGTAGAGGCTATAAGAATTGTTGTTATAGAGATTTATCCATATTCTAACTTTATTATATTATTAACATAAAACAACCATAAGCGAAATAAAACTGACTCATTTCAATAAGAAGAACAGCAGAACAAATAAAATCTAGAAACCACGTGATTAATATTTGCTTTCTGTGTCCTAGTTGTAAAATTCTAGCGCAAAATCTTAGTGACGGGAAATAACTCATGTATCGCTTCGGTATTTTCCGTGAGCACAAGGTGTGAGGATACAATGCTACTCGGCAATTTAATCCAAGTTAATAGGTAGAAGCCACAGCTTCGAATGGCCAGGGAGGATTTCTTGGATATAGTGAATATTCTGGATTTAACCTTTTACCCCATGAGAAAACTGGCAGTTTTCATTGAAAAGCCTCCTGTTACAAGTTCAAACTGCTATGAAACTATAAAAAATGCTTCAATACTGATGAAATTTGGCACAAATGTTGACTTGACCATGGCCTCTGTAACAGCATGCTCAATCGTAAATTTTCTGTTACCATGGCAACGGGAACGTCTCAAAATCACTATTTTGCATTGTTTTTTTTTCCATCAAAACTGATTTCAAAGTGCTGCAACTTCTCAATGAATTAAGATAGAGTAGAAGGCTTTTCAGCGTCGGTTACTAGTTACCCTGAGATCGACCTGAGGCCGTGTTTAGCCTGACACATGTCCAAAATTTTCTTGGCGATGAGGGGGACTACCGCCACCTTCAATCCCCCCCACAAAACGGAAGGGGGCACATCCCCCTTCTGGCAACCCCCTGATGCACTATTTTGATAGGGGGCGCGCCGAAAAGTGGTCACTTTTTTAACAACATTTCTCAAATGAAAAACAGTGTTGGGGGCCTAAATATGGCATTTTTGCACTGTTTGAGATCTCAAAACGGAGGGGGGGGGGCAAAAAGCCGTCAAAATACGTCTATATAAGGGAAAAGGTTAAATGACTGGTTGTCTTTAAAGTGCATTTTCAGCATGAAATTTGTTTTTGTGACATCTAATATAATCACTTGCAAATTCGAAAGCATGGCCAGAAATCACTTGCTGTTGATTATAGATGTCAAGGCTGCCATTTGTTGTAAACATTGCTTTTAAACAACATGCACGGTAAAAACAAGTCATTTTACAGGGGGGTGGGGTACAAACTATTAGCAGTAGTAAAAAATCTACAAGGTTGAGCACCAATTTCTTTGTGATATTTTGCATGTAAACGGAGTTGCTAAAGCAGAGACGGTGTTCCTTTACCCCGTATATTTGCAGGTCTTTTTTGCCAGATGGACGAAATGTGTTGTTTTTGGGTCTCGGGCCACTGTAGATTTTGGGCTTCAACGGAATGAATAGGAACTTTTTTGACTGCCTGCCTATTGCAGATTGGATGATTTCTTTGTAGATTTGCAATCTTATGTCATATATGTTCTCAACAAAATGTGTTTTCTTTTTTCAGGTTGTGTAGTTTGGTATCTGAATTATTAGACGTATTGCTTGTAGGACATTGACGACAGAACTTGAAATTAACTGTGGAGTGCTACCCTGGATTTCGTGGATTTTTTTGAAGAGAATATTTCAACGGTTACAGAAACAAGAAGTAGAAACAATTGATCCTTACATTCTGCAGTATCAAAATACAAATGTTTAACTGGCAATTAAAAGTAGCAATTAAACTTGTGTAAATCAATTTAAATTTATATGATTATAAATAAGTATTTAATGAATACGAATATAAATTAGATAAACAGAAATTGAAAGATAAACAGCGAATAAATACCCAAATTCTGCTCCATAAACGTCCATCTAAATTACATAGATAAAAGTATGCAGTACTTATTATCATGGTTGTAAATAATATTTATATAATTCTTGTCACACGTGCTAGTGGCATTGATTTGACCTAAAATGTGTTTGACCTTGTTATTTATACAATAAAATATCAATATATTAAAAAGAAATTTTTTTTTTCACTGTTATATTATTATAGACAAGGTATGCAACATTCAGGTACGAAAATTATGGGTAGGCCCGTTATCTGTGTTAAAATTTTTCACCGGGCGGTAATATCGTCGGATTTTTGCATGGAATCAATGCACAATATATTTTTCTATTGCAATTTACTATTTACAGATCCCCAATTAACCGCTAGTTAATGTTATAAAGCCCGAAAGTAAGAAATCACCCAGGGCCGAAAGATGAGACCGTCATGACATGTACATTATAACCTGGTATTTACGCTTGAAATACATCAACAAAGAGATAAAACGGGTCGAACACACATGCAAACAACTGGATTTTACATACTTTTAAATGGTTTTATCCTCCACGAGTGGCACTAAGTCCTATGTGCCCGTATTTTAAGAAAAATTCTACATGTATAAGGTAATTCCTACCGCAACACGTGCTTGGTTCCCTGTTTCCCTCTATGTCAATGTATGTGAAACGGAAGCCGGAGATTACTTCCGGTAGGAATTACCTTCTAAAAATATCGTCTACATGTAGAATATTTCTTTAAATACAGGCTCATAGGACTGAGTTCGACTCGTGGAGCATAAAACCATTAAAATGTATATTTTTTAATAAATTGATATTTTATTGTATAAATAACAAGGTCAAACACATTTTAGGTCAAATCAATGCCACTAGCACCTGTGATTCTTGTATCTAACATACGCATGTAAACAATATTAATATAATATTTGTTGACTAAGTTTAATCCAATATATCAAGTAAACGTCCATCTAAATTACATAAATATAAAAGTAAACAGTTTGGTTGTAGAAACCAAAAGTACAAAATCATGAAAATTTCTTTGACATAAATTCGTATAGGATTATATTTCTACTTTTGTAGGCATTTTTAAATTGAATGATTGTTAGACATATTTACAATCATAATTGTAGAAAATTGGCAATTTAATTGCTGCCAAAAATATTCATAAGGTTGTATGTTACTAGTATTTTCCTTTGTTTTGAATATTGTAAAATCAGATAAATAATATATTAGATTTTGATATGCATATTTTCTTTTTTTCTTCAAAATACAATAAGCACAAGATGTGAGAAATACAAATAAAGTTTTATGTTTTGTAAGATACTAGTATAAGGATTCTAATTTTTCAAGTATCAACATGTTGACTCGACCTCGTTTTTATTTTTCAATAATATCAATACACATTAACTATCTGTGTAAGTTTCATTCAAGATTTCAAGATTATTTATAAGTACATTTTTACTTTTGAAAGTTTTCTATTGAAAAATTCATAAATACAAGATATAAATACCTCAAAAATGTATTTTCCTTTATTTAAATCGGGATAACTTCTCCTACACAAACGCCCTTCATCGCTATTTTGTCGGAACGCGAAAGTTTTATTGTAATCCAATCAAAATTTAAACCGTCTACATGTTTCAAATGTGCAAATAAACAAATTCTACAATATAATTCGAACACGATACCTGTCGTACCATTATGATAAAGGTTGTGCAGGTTTTTTATATTACAATTTTCTTTTCTTTTTTCTTACGTATAATCGTATACTCGTAATCGTGATATTGTTTCATTTTCAAATATGCGATGTTTTGCACAGCTGAAAGTTAAAGTAAAAATGTTATGCAAAATATTTTGAACAGTAATCAAACATATTTCAATAGTATTTTTATTCTATACAGTATCCAAGTGCCTCATTTTCAATAATTTTGGCAAATGTGTATAATTATATTTATTTTCTTCCATTGCTTATTCTTCAGTAGGCGTAAACTCTGCTGAATACGAACATGTTTAAAACTTAAAAGTCCATTATGCCTTATAAATGCTTTTAATTAGTTTTTTTTTTTATTTTGGTGTACTTTTACAGTATCCAAAAAGTTAATCATTTGTCAATGACATGTACTATCTTTTTAATCAGTTGCTTTTTGGCAATAAGTACAGTTAAATTGAAAGTATTAATTTTGTATGGAAGTCAATATACTACGTTGTTTACATTTTGCTACTTTTATGACAAATTATTTCACATTAATCATTACTTTCTTTAGGTAACAAGCCTACAAACTTTCTCTAAAACCAATATTTAAATATTTAAAAATGCATGGCTTGGTCCTTTCTTTATATTTTATTTTGAGGCAAAATGTGCCCTTCAAATCCAATTAGTCCTTTAAAATTTAAAATTTCTGGTCAATTTCTGGATACGAACAAAGCGTAAACAGTCATGGAAGCGAGCAGCAACCTGTACGGCTATTTCTGTTGAATATCAGGTAATGGGTTAAAAGGTTGTTAAACGTTTAGGCAAAAAAAGGTATGTTTTTATAATAAAATTTATTCGACCCCCTCTTTATGGTCAAATTAATTTTGGTGGAAATAGACAAATTAAAAGGAACAGCGGATTAAAAAGCAAAAATACCTTTCGATTAAAAAATTAAATTTAGTTTGGAATAAAGATTTCCTGATTGTCCAAATTCGTGTTTGATCAACCTGCTGTTTGTAATGTTGTTTGTTTGTTTTTACGGATGACAGATACGTTAATTTTTTTTAATTTTATTTGGCGATGTGTATGATATAATTGTTATTTAAATGATTTATTCCTATAAAATTGTATTTGTTATTGACGCGTAAAGGCGTCTTTTGGGGGGGATATTAGTTACTATGACTTTGAACTAGGCATATACCCCTGTACAACCTTTGTGAAGCGTAAATAATATGACGTTAAATATAAATGTGCAAAGCCTTCAGACTGATCTTACACACCGATTGCAACATATCAGTTGAAAACATGCCAAAACCTGGACACAAAGTCAAAAATTCTATAAAAAAAAATTACCCGCGCGTTGAAGAATTAAATAATTAAGCTTTATTTGAAACATAAATTATTTATCAAATCCATACTAATAGCTGTTAATGTATTGTTCAAAACTCATGTCACAGGGTGATAAAAATGTGTAAATGCTTCACAAAGGAAATCAGGAAAACTTATTTTCAATTTTCTGAGTTATTTTTCACATCCGATCATGCCAAAAAAATGTATTTAAAACCCATGTTTCAAATAAAAAATACTTGCAGTTACAATGGTTTTTTGAGAGGTAAAGGAGGGGTTGTAGAGTGGGTGAGGGGGGCCGGCAAGTAGGAACAACCATATGATACAGGCTGAACGACGATTCCAAGCAATTTTTTTGAAAAATGCTTATATACTTGTAAGCATTTTTGGCTTGCCCATTTCATTTGGAAAAAACTTGTTCCGGTTAAAGGTGGGTTTCCTGCTTACATCTGTTGGGGTGCATGATTGAAAAACGGGAAACCAGGCTGCAAATCGGTGCCAAATCCGCAACTTTTCGGCCCTTTTTCCGTCACTCTTTCGGATTAATAATAAATAGCCGATGTATTCCGATTGCAAATCGTGAAAATTCGGGGCGATTACCGTCATTGCGGAATCAGAACGAAGTAATATTTATTGGAGAAATTTAAAGCTATTTATTTTAGTTATTCGGTAACCAGTTTCTGTTTAAATCTGATAAAATAGGATTTCTAATTTTTTACTTGATTCCGTAATAAATTATAAACGAAATTGTTCGTTCAATTGTTTTTCAAAGAACGCAAAAGTTAGTTTTTCTTTTATAATTTTTTTTGTCTGTATTAGTTTTATACAAAGAGAATGGAGTAGTAATTCCGTCTTCAAAGGGGTGGTTTCCTGCTTAAACCAAATCACGCATGATCGAGTTATATTTAGATCTTGCTGAACGCAATTCAACTTCTTGGTGAGGTAATCTAAAAATAGCCCATGCATATCATTAACCTTGCCACATAGCGCATCGTCTATTTGTGATCGTGTAACATAGTTGATTCATGCTTATTAATTGGTACCACGTAACGAAGTATTTTAGTGCATTTACTTGTCTATGTCTATGTTAGTGTTCATCCGTGCTGTTCTACAGAAATTAGAAACTTCGACGGGAGCGATAGCGACCGGAGAATGTTTCTAATTTCTGTAGAATAGCTACGGATGAATACTAACATATTTAGTGTCAAACTTTATTTGGCCTCATTAATATTCATTTTATTACGTCACTACCAGTCCGCTTTACAAAACAATTACCTGAATGGTGGGTTTAAAATTTGACCTTATAAATATGCATGATTTACGTCACTTTGCGCGAAGACAATGTACCCCTTGTGTTTCAGTTGCGGCATATGGCTGATGCGAGTTTCCATTTGATCGATATTAACACATAAATTTATTTTCAAAAAAAAATTTGATGAGTCGGATAATTGTTACCTGATATGATTTATACACTTTGATGAATTGGACAACTGATACTCAGTAGCTAATATCTTATATGATTTATACATGTATACACTAATTGTCATGTGTTAACACGAGGTCACGTAATATATTTTCCAAAAAAATAATGTCTACTTTCACTTTCTGTCTACCGAAAAAAAAATGAATAGACACACGTGACTTTCCTCTTAGTTACAAATTAATTAAGACCGTTTTCTACATTCGTAATAAAAAATATGAATTGACTTTTTGTATTGTTTTTTATTTTAACACATGCAGTATCTTTTTTCGCAAAGACGTCGATTTAAATCTAAACTGCATGTATATCCTTTATTAATAAATGCAAAAATAATGTAGGTTGACCTTTTGACGTCATTTTTACTTAATTAATATTCAAAAGCGGCCCACGAAAGCGCATGTGCAAATTTATGCAAATGACTATTTTTACAAACGCGATACCATGAAGCACTATGAAAAATAGAAGGCGACTATGAACTGTATTTGATATAGTATCGACTTTTGTTCTTCTATGAAAATTAACACTCATTATTTTGAAGAAATACAGCGTTTCCATTGGATGACAAATAAAGTTGGACACTAAAAAGCAAAGGAATGATTTCGCTGCGAAAAAGGGGAAATGAAATGTGCACACTTGTTTTCCTTCAGTATCACGTTAGTATTTTTACGATTGATCATTTTCTTTATAAGTTTTATACAATAGAGATAAGAGAGCTAAATAAACCGGCCCTTTATGATATACAAATACCGTAATTCAAAAAAAAATGTAATAATAAATTGAAACCAAAAAAAAAAAATTTTAAAGGGTTGGGATGAAGGCACAACTGTGCAAGCCTTTCCTTTTAAAAGGAAACTTTATTAAAACTGTTTTAATTGTAAACTGTTCACAACTGAATCTAATAGACGTTCGTTTTTCTAAAAACCAATACGAGCTGGCGGACGGCGTGAACAGAAATGTCCGATGATAGGGGTGAAACAGTTAAAAATGTTGACCAGTGCATTAGGTTATAATGTCTTATGTATAAACATGTTTTATAAATATATTTAACAAACATGTAAGGGAGATAATTCGGTCAACCTTAACGTGATTGTGTATACACACCTGATATAACAAGATATAGATTTGAATATTGAACAATCGCTTATTGGTTGACCCTTTTCTAAAGAGTGGTGTTTCACATATCAAAAGTTAAATACAGGGCTTGATATCAAATGTCTGATAATTTGTAAGATAATAGTAATCCATACCTACATGACGAATATTAGAACATTTACTTGTACTTATTCAATAAGGTGATCTCCAAAATGGGTTGTATACCTTTGGGAATTAAAGTTATTACTCACATTTGGTCTCAATAACAATACTAAACATTATAATGATAAAGCTTGTTCCTTCATTCAACTTGAATCGAAATCAGATAACATACCTGATTACATTGTAAAACTGTAGTTGTTAACTTTGCAACATATATACGCTTCTTTATAAGCTTTGCACAAACGACGGTTAATTTTCCTTTTTGTGTAAAGCATATTTACATTGAACACACACTCAACATATCTGCTTTCATTTTATAAATATGTCCCCCTGTAATTATAATAATAGTACTGATCAATACAATTTTATGAAATGTTTTAAAATAGATTTGACTGATGTTTTTTTTTTGTATTTCAAAGTAGCAAGTAGAAGGTTTTATAATGGAAGCAAAATAAAGACAAGTTAAAGAGTGTAACAGTTTTCTTTTGCTATAAATATGGATTAAAGAAGTCATAACTAGGTAACCGAAATATAAAACTTACTGTCAGCAAACTACTTGGTTACTATATATCGATTGCTTACAAACGTTAACTGTTTTGTGCATACAGTCACCCAAAGATTAAAAGACTAATTTCATCCATTATATATAGACAATAGTTCAAAGTTCGTGTGTTATAATAACTTTTGAAATAATTATTGGCATAAAACATACGTAGGGGTTTAAATGAACGTATGAATAGTTTAACGT